TACATACAAGTTAGGTGGTGGGGTGCTGCATAGGTGTTAAAATGACTGCAGATAAAAGTCATTTCAAATTTAAAAATAACACACAAGAGGGGCGCCTGGGTGGCTCAGTCGGTTAAGCGGCCGATTTCAGCTCAGGTCACGATCTCGCCGTCTATGAGTTCCTGCCCCACGTCAGGCTCTGGGCTGACAGCTCAGAGCCTGGAGCCTCCTTCAGATTCTGTGTCTCCCTCTCTCTCTGCTCCTCCCCCGCTCACACTCTGTCTCTCTCTCTCAAAAGTAAATAAACATTAAAAAAATTTTTTTTTAAATAACACACGAGAATGCACAGTTTCCAATGGTATAAAACTTCATGCACACACATTCACGAGAGAAGGGAGCTCTAAATGAGGCAGAGCTGGGACTGCTCTAGAGCGGATTGAAAGCACACTCGGGCGATACAAGCAAAGGGGGAACGTGTTTCTATTTCACTGTTTAAAACACACAACATAATTCATTTTCTTGCAGAAAGAAAAGAGAAAAAAAAATCTGGAAGGATACCCCCTAAACTAATAACAACGGTTGGTGTGGGAAAGGATAGGAAGATGGAAATGTCATAGTCCACTCAGGCTGCTATAAAAAATGACGAGAGCAGCTCCCAGCTGGCTCAGTCGGTGGAGCGCGTGGCTCTTGATCTCAGGGTTGTGGGTTCAAGCCCCATGCTGGGTGTAGAGATTACTTAAAAAAATAAGACCTATTTACAAATGACTATAAGCACAGTGGCTTATGTGCGACAAAAATGGATTTCTCACAGTTCTGGAGGCTGGGAAGTCCCACATCAAAGCGCTGGAAGAATCCGTGTCTGGTTTCTTGTTCCTAGACTGTGTCCGTGTGTCCCCATGTGTCCTCACCTGCCAGGGGTGGCAAGGAGCTCTTGGGAACCTCTTTATAAGGGCACTGAGCCCACTGTAAGGGCACCACACTCGTGACCTGATCGCCTCCAGAAGGCCCCACCTCCTAAAACCATCGCATTGGGGGTTAGGATTTCGCCACATGAATTAGAGGGGGACACAGTCTATAGCATGAAGGGAATTTCACATAAGGTTTTTTTTGTTGTTGTTTTTTAGTTTTTATGGTGAGATTTTTGTGTTGTATTGATGTAATAGTAATGGGATTAAAAAGAAAGACAGGAGGCCTTGGAAACACACACCCTACCGTCCTTCCCAATCCTACCCTTCTACCCACCAGTAGAAAATCACTGCTTTAAATTCAAGGTGAAGGCTTCCCACCTGCTGCTATCCTTACCTTCATATAGAAGTAAAACTGCAAAGATCATAAAAAGGCCAATGTCTCCAAACAGCTCTTTAATATCTATTCTGTCTCTCCCTGGGGCCTCCAAAGGGAGCCCTGGGCTTGGGCTGGTCCCAGTCACATGTACCAGCCCCCTCTGGCCAGCCTTCTTCCTGAGGTCTAGGAGGTGGCACCTATGTGCCTACCCCCAGCCTCCTCCCCTCTCCCATTAAGACGCCATTTGGCAGGGGCACTTGGGTGGCTCAGGCAATTAATTAAGTGTCTGACTCTTGAGTTCAGCCCAGGTCATGATCTCACAGTTCATGAGTTCTAGTCCTTTGTCGGGCTCTGTGCTGACAGTGCGGAGCCTGCTTGGGATTCTCTGTCTCCCTCTCTCTCCACCCTGTGCTCGTGTTCTCACTCTCTCTCTCTCTCAAAAATAAATAAATTTAATTAAAAAAAACAAAGACACCATTTGGCAAAATCTCCATAAACCTCTGTGAGCTCATTGCCCATGAACAGTTACTGCCTGAGCTTTCTCAGCTTTACTTCCCGATAAAGAAAAGAAAACAAATATCCAGTTCAGGGAGCGATTTGATGTATCTGAAGTTAACAAAGCCACAACAGGGTTAACCTGACAGGCTGTTAGGAGTAAAACCCTTTTCATGAGCAATATTTTGCTTGGGCTGCAAAAGGGCAACAGATAAATGTGAAAAGGCTGCATGAACAGAAACGGAGTGGGTTGCTAACCATCTCCTTCCCATAAACCCAAGAGTCTGGGCTCCCAAACTGCCTTCTCAGCTTCCTGAGACCACTACCTTCCCAGGGGGCGCTCAATCAGTGCGGGACCACCACCTGGACTCCAGGTCAAAACCCATGAACTCAGACTCCAGAAAGCATCTTCGACAGATCCAAGCTGCTGCCCTTTCTGGGTCTGGAAAGCAAATTAGCAGTGAAACCCAGGAAACCTCGTCCTGTCTCAGAGCGATGGCGGGTCGGGCTTCAAAGCACCACTCGTCAATGGCAGCATCTGTCTTCGGTGACTATAGCAATTATAAATCATTCTTATCCTTTTATAAGACCTTCCAGGGCAAATTCCCCTTCTCCTATCAATGGCCAGAATTAATTTCTTTTAAAATGTCCTAGAACACAGGCGCCTGCCTGGGTGGCTCAGTCGGTTAAGTGTCCGACTTCAGCTCAGGTCATGATCTCACGGTTTGTGGGTTCGAACCCCGCGTCGGGCTCCGTGCTGACGGCTCAGAGCCTGGAGCCTGCTTCAGACTCTATGTCTCCTTCTCTGCCCCTCCTCCATTCATGCTCTGTCTCTCTCACTCGCTCCTCTCCCTCAAAAATAAATAAATGTTAAAAAAAATTTTTTTTTATTTATTGTCCTAGAACAGATGTTTACTCTCAGGCTGATCTTTCTGCTGATTAGCGAGCTTCTGAGCATTAACGGTTATTATGTCCTTTCTCAACCCCCTTCGAGTTCTCTCCCTGGATGCTCCGCCGCCACTCCCAAGCCATTCCTAATTTTCTGTACAGTCTGTCCAAGACTTTTCCCTGGGATCTTCTCCATATTCAAAGCACATATTAGAACAGACATCAAGCAAAAGGTTAAAAAAATGTGCTGCTGCCTGGTGCCAATTAGCCAATGACTATTTACACTGCCCAGAGAAAGTCCCCACGTTCAGACAGCTGATCAAATATAGCTGGGGACCTCCTGCCCACCCCCAGTACCAGTGAGCAGTGGCCCATCATGAGTGCAAAGAGCCCTCTACAAGAGACTGTCTTAGAAGCCCAGTGGGGACTAGGTAGGAAGGGCAGAATGAGACCCAGCGGGGGCTGTGCAGAGCCGCTGAGCCAGCCCCTGGACTGCTGTTGCAAGAGTTAAGGCCGTTGGCTGTCAGATCTTCCTGCCAGGGCCAGTAGAATACATCCCAACAGCAAGTTCACACATTACTAGGGTGGATCTGAGAGCAGAATATGGCAGCCCACACAGGAGACCTCTCAAAGTCATTATCATGCAACATAATGAACAGCAAGGAAGCCAAGGGTCCAGGGCGCAGAAAGTGACACTGACATTCAAGCTCTCGATAAATAAAAAAAAAAAAAAAAAAAAAAAAAAAAAAAAAAAAAAAAAAATGACACATGGTCTTTCCTCCAAGACAATATCATGCCTCTCCACCCAACCATCACATCCAGCTCTCTGGTCCAGAGGCTGGTCCTTCTGGGACATGAGTAATCAGCTTCTCACCAGCCCCAGGGTCAGGTTCCCAAGAACCCGGCCTTCTCTCCCTCCGGTCAGGAATTTAAGGCAAGAAAGAGGACAGGAAGGCAGGGAAGACAATGTCAGAGTACCTCTTGGGATAGATGTCCAGCTGACTCCTGTGAGCCTGACCTGATCCCAGCTCATCAGAATCCAACAGAAGCAATAACCTTCAACCTCATTCTCCCCGATAGGGTCCTTCCTCCTCCTCTTCCCTTTCTGGGTGAGCAGAGAATTCAAGCACTAGCTCAGATCTCACGGAGGACTTCTGCCTGCCTCTAGGGCTGCTTGGGACACAGCATCTGGTGAGGCTGTATGTTCCCGTACTGGGTTCTTACTGACACTGACCTTTCTCCACTGACAACAGTATATGCAGACTACCTGGTTTTAACCAATGGCATTCAGTTACAAGCTCGTGACTTGACCTCGGCTCTCTCTGTCAGCGATCACAGCCAGATGGCGGGCTGTGGTTCATACCATGCTACTGCATGAGTAAGTAGAGGCTCATCCCCCAAACCCAACCCACCAGCCCTAGTTTACCGAAAAGGCCTAACATCTCTGGCTACCCCCCCCCCCCAATTCTGGTGCCTTTTTAGATTAAAAAAAATTTTTTTTTAACATTTTTTTAATGTTTATTTATTTTTGAGACAGAGAGACAGAGCATGAACAGAGGGGGAGCAGAGAGAGAGGGAGACACAGAATCTGAAGCGGGCTCCAGGCTCTGAGCTGTCAGCCCAGAGCCCGATGCGGGGCTCGAACTCACAGACCATGAGATCATGACCTGAGCTAAAGTCGGCTGCTTAATCGACTGAGTCACCCAGGTGCCCCTAGATTTTTAAATTTTTACTTTGCAGCCCCTGAAGGGAGTTATCCTCAAGCTATAGGAAGGAAAACTAGAGCTGAGGGACACACAACCAGCAAATGGCAGAAGTGAATTCAAACTCAGAGCCCTGCTACCCAATGTCCCTACTTCATCCTCCTGTAAATAAGCTCCCGTCCATGTGACGCTTGGCCAATGGTCTCAGGCTAGAGTTGGGTATGTCATCATCTCCCTGATGACAGTGAACGCTCCTTAAGGGTCAAGACCATGATCATATTCACTCACTTCTCCCGGTTTCTAGGTCCGCTCATATACACAGTGCCACAGAGTACGACATCAGCTATACTCTATATTTATAATGAAATCTGACATTTAAAATCTGAACTCACCAAAATGTAACTAAGGGAACGATTAGTCATATTACCAAGAGCTTATTTTCTTTCAGGGGGAAAAAAAACCAGTCACAATTCAGTGCCTCTAGGTAAAAGCCCTAAATGCCTTAAAATATCTATTTCAATATCACTGGCTGCTCAACAGAGACATGAATGGCTATGTCAAGTCTGAAGAGTGGTACTCACCAGGTGAGGCATCAGGAGGTCAGCCAGGTAGACAAACGCAGCTCCGAGAGTGAAGCCGATGGCCACAGGGAAGAAGGCAAAGGCACCAAAACCCCCAGAGGACGTGGCCATCTCCACTGCCGGGGCCAGGAGAGACCAGTAAGAAGCCGCTAACATGACCTGCAAAACCACAGTGAACAATAAGCCATTAAACCAACCGCACAGAAGGTGTTTCAAGTGCAGACTTCAGTTGCACTTGAACTGAACCCAACACATGTGCTAGGCCTTCAGTCTTCCACGGTAGGTACTATCTCAAACCGAAAGGCCACCACCAGAATGCCTGGAACGGGTGCTATAGGAACAAAACACGGGGCAGACTAGAGCTGACCTTGGGAGAATGGAGTCCTAGATGCTGTCATCTAGCCTCTAATCCAGTGGGTCTCACCCATGGGCAACTGTACCTTCCAGGGGACGTTTGGCCATGTCTAGAGACAGTTTGGGTTGTCACAGTAGATGTGGGTCACACGTGTCTGTCTCCCTTCCATTTTTACCTGTTAGCTTTCTAGGTCTGCTCTCTGAGGCACCAAAGAAGGTATCCTTCCTCTTTGACACGTGGCACCCTTTGAAATATTTGAGGACAACCACTGATCAATATCAGCTCAGTCTTGCCAACTTTGTTGTCTCTCAAAGGAAAGAAGGGAACTAGTACTCATTGACCACCTGCTATTTCCAGGGAAATGTATCTTTGATACCTTATTCTATCATTGCCACAACCTGGGAGGCAGATGCTGTTTTCTGTTACTATCTGTAGAGAAAGAAATCGAATCTAGAAGTAATTAGAATTTGCACAAGGATGCACAGCCAATAAATGGCAGATCCTGAACTGAACAAGTAGGACCTAATCACCTCGATGAGGGCAGAAACATGAAAGGAAAGAGAAAAATGAAGCTGAACCCAAAAAAACCTCAGTGAGGTCAATTTGATAAAACTTTCCAGTGTTTACCGAAGTAAACGCTCATCGATGGCTGTTTACTCTTACAGATGCTGTGACATCTCCTTGGCAGATACACCCACTACCCATCGTAACCATATGACAGTCGTCACTGACATGCAAAGTGTTGAATGGGTTTCTAAAAATGATTTAATTATGCCTTGCCTTTAAAAAAAAAAAAAATCTGCATCACCCATCTCCAAAATAACACTCAGAGTGACAGAACGAGGAATTACAAAAGCAACAATAAAGAATAAATCCATGCAGAAAGTAATTTCTCTTCTGCCAACAATCACCCACACATGATCAATTGCTCTGGGCCCGATTCTCCTAGCAAAAGTCTTAGGGCCACCCCCCGGAAAATTGTATCTGCCTCAGAAACTTCCAGAAAGAAAGAAAATGTCTCATCAGTTCAGTTCCACGAGATCATCCAAGGAAGCCTGTGGGCCCCTTCTCCGTGACACAGCCCAACACGTCCCCGACTGTTGTCTCATGGCTTTAGAATTCAACAGCCTTTGAGAGCTGCTGTTCGTGGAGAACTCCACACCAAGGAGGATCTGCACGCACCTGTCCAGCAACCTCTTTCCCTGCACGTTCCAGGGCCTTCCATACAGCCCCACCATCAGCAACTCTAAAATGGTACCATCCAGGAAGGCCATTCATCTCATCCTTCAATCCCTCCCGCACCCTATCCTTGTCGATGCCACGGGTCGGGGGCACTTCCTCAGCCTCGGTTCCCCATCCCATCTTGCACACCAAGCGCGTCTCCCTCTGCCCTAGCTCCTTTCCGTCCCTCAGCATCCCTGTGTGCCAACCTTTCCTCTGCCCCTCCAGATGAGAAATACAAAATGTTCCCGTGGACAAGTGACACGAGGTACAGGGCAAAAGAGATGTGCCCCTCAAGGCAGGGGTATGCCAGAATCTGGGGTGCTTTAAACAGAAAAGCAGCCCAGATGATTCGGGTGGACCCCTCCTTGAGAATCACTATTCTTCATCCTTCCAGATACCCAACTGGACCCAACTGGATTTCCTTCATTTCTTTTCCTCACCATCCCTGCCACCCACATAAACTAGAAAAAAGACCAGAGAACAATCATGAGATAGTATTGGGTTGCCTGTCCCAAGCGACCACAAGGCCCAAAGAAAAGTTATTTAGAGGGCAGATGTGGTGGACAAAGATGTGATGACTTCCCCCCCACCCCGCCAAAGACAGCCACATCCCAATCCCCAAAACCTGTGAGTATGTCACCTTACATGGCAAAGGGGACTCTGTACTTGTGATCAAGTTAAGGATCTTGATATGGGGAGGTTATGCTGGATGATCTGGATGGAGCCAATGGGATCACAGGGTTTCCATGAGACAACAAGAGGAGTCACAGGGTTGCCTGAGTGGCTCAGTCAGCTAAGGGTCCTACTTCGGCTCAGGTCATGATGTCACAGTTTGTGAGTTCGAGCCCCACATCGGGCTCTGTGCTGACAGCTCAGCGCCTAGAGCCTGTTTCAGGTTCTGTGTCTCCCTCTCTCTCTGCCCCTCCCCCACTCACGCTCTCTCTCTCTCTCTGTCTCAAAAATAAATCAACATTACGAAATAATTTTAAAAAA